ACTTGAGCCACAGCACCACTTCCGGCTTTTTTTCTTTTTGCTTATGTGGTGCTGAGGAATTGAACCCAGGGCCTCAGGCATGCAAGGTAAGCGCTCTACCACTGGGCCACCTTCCCAGCCCCAGCTTTTTTTTTTTTTTAATAGATTTTTTTTGTTGGTAGTGGGGCTTTAACTCTGGGTTTGGGTGCTGTCCCTCAGCTCTTCAGTTCAAGGCTAGCGCTCTACTGCTTGAGTCACAGCACCACTTCCGGTTTTCTAGTGGTTTATTGGAGATAAGAGTCTCACGAACTGTCCTGCCCCTGCCCGGGCTGGCTTTGAACCTCGATCCTCAGACCTCATCCTCCTGAGTAGCTAGGATTACAGGCGTGAACCACTGGCACCCAACTCCCTGAGCTTCTTTTGCTCAAGGTTGTCACTTGAGCCACAACTCCACTTCCAGGTTGTGTTTTTGTTTTTCTTTTTTAGTAGTTTATTAGAGTTAAGAGCCTCATTGACTTTCCAGCTTAGGCTGGCTTCAAACTGCCATTCTCAGATCTCAGCCTCTAGAGTAGTTAGGATTGCAGGCATGAGCTACCGGCGCCTAGTTAGGCTATTTCTGTTAATAAACTATACAAGTGTATTTTATGGTCTGGATGTTAAGCCTTTATCACACAGTTGACAAATATTTTCTTGCATTTTACAGGCATGAGCCACCGGTGCCTGGCAATCCTTATTTATTACACAAAAGATGCCATACTATTTGTAGGTTTTCGCACTGTGCTTCATTCATTTAATAATATAGCTTGGAAATTGTTCCATAGCAAGATCTTTTTTCCTCCTTTGGCTATATTAGAGCACTTAGATAATTACCAGTATTTTGCAATGATGAATAATGGTGACATGAATAACTATGTTACTTAAATATAATTCTGTTAATCTATACTATAGATCTTTGAGATTGATTTTATTTTTGCCTTTTTTCTCAGATGTTTTTATGATTTAAACTTGAAATAATTTGTAGTATCTTTTAACCTTTGCTACTTGACTCTTATCCTATCAACAGGTAGATTTAGATGTTACATTACCAGGAGAAGGTGGGAAAGATCGACCTTTCAAGGTATCCATCAAATTTATTTCTCGAGTGAGCTGGCACCTACTACATGAAGTACTGACAGGACGAAGCTTGCCTGAACCACTGGAATTAGACAAGCCCATCAGCACTAACCCTGTCCATGCTGTTGATGTGGTGCTCCGACATCTGCCCTCCATGAAGTGGGTGTTTCTGGCTTTTGTCTTTAGATGTTAAATATGAAGGCATTCCTCCTAAGAGCCCATTGTCCAGTTCTTCCTTGGTTATCTGTTCTAATGAATTGCTTTGTTAAAAAAAAAAAAGTGAACTAGTCCTTTCTTTTAGGAGCTATACTTTTTATTTATTCATCAGTCCTGGAGCTTGACCTCAGGGCCTGGCTGTTGTTCTTGAGCTCTTTTTTTTTTAACTCTTTTTTTACTCTTGAGCTCTTTTTTTTACCACTTGAGGAATAATTCCACTTCCAGTTTTCTAGTAGTTAATTGGAAACAAGAGTCTTGGAAGTTTTCCTGCTGGCTTTGATCCATAATCCTCAGATCTCAGCCTCCCCAGTAGCTAGGATTATAGGTGTGAGCCAACAGTACCTAGCTGGAGCTATCTATCTTAAATAGCTGATTTGTTTTCAGATATATTCTTATTGCTGGGCTGGGAATGTGGCTTAGTGGTAGAGTGCTTGCCTAGCATGCATGAGGACCTTGGTTCAATTCATCAGTCCCACATAAACAGAAAAAGCCAGAAGTAGCCCTATGGCTCAACTGGTAGAATACTAGCCTTGAGCAAAAAAAGCTCAGGGACAGTGCCCAGGCCCTGAGTTCAAGCCCCGAGACAGGCCAAAAGAGAAAGAAAGAGAAAGATATATTCCTATCCTTTTAGTCATCCTGTTTTTAAAATAGTTTTGCTGCTTATACAATAACATCAAATTGCATTAAGATTGACAGTCTTTTACTCATACTAACTAGCATTTCATGTGCGCATATCTATTTATGTGTGTCATAAATATGTCTTTTAAGAAAAGTAATATATTTTGAAGAACATTTAGAGGAGTAACTAATATGTGTGTGTGTACGTGCGTGTGTGTGCACGTGCACGTCTATGCATGTGGGCATGTGGGGATAGTACTAGGGTTTGAACTTACACTTGCTTTGCAAGTATTCTCCCACTTTAGCCATTCTCTCAATTCTAGAAATAGCTTTTTGATCTATTACTATTCTTTTTTCTTTTTTCCATTTCTCTGTCATGAGGCTTGAACTCTGGGCCTGAGTGCTATCCCTCAGCCCTTCAGCTTAAGGCGAGTGCTCTACCACTTGAGTACCGCTTCCGGTTTTCTAGTTGTTCATTGGAGATAAGACTCTCATGGCCTTTCTTGCCTGCGTGGGCTTTGAACCTTGATCCTCAGATCTCAGCCTCCTGAGTAGCTAGGATTACAAGGGTGAGCCACAGGTGCCTGGCTTGTTAATTCATTTTTAAGAAAGAATTTTAAATAAAATTTATTATTTCGTGAACTGAATATTCTTAAAGTGGAAAATTTTGTTGAGAAGGCTACTTTTTATTTTCACAAATTGGAAAATATTTTAAGTTTCATGTGTTTATAATTATAAATATCATGGTAAATTGTTATTTAGTCTCCTCTGCTCTGCAGATTCAAATACTTGGATGGGAAAAATATTTGTATGGGAAGGAAAAGATTAAGCATGCTATTTTAATTTTTGTAGATACACTCCTGTGGGGCGTTCCTTTTTCTCAGCTCCAGAAGGATATGACCACCCTCTGGGAGGGGGCAGGGAAGTATGGTTTGGATTCCATCAATCTGTTCGGCCTGCCATGTGGAAAATGATGCTTAATATTGATGGTAAGGGAACTAAAGCCATATTCTGAATTGGGTAGGTGATTTCTATATGGCATGTGCATGTGAATTTTATACATATAATTGTATATATAGTCTTAAAGTAATGTTTGGATGTATATTATGACAGACTGGAAAAAACTTTGTATTTTTATTATGTTTCATTTGCAAAAGCTTTATATAGAACTTTCCTTGGAATAGTACCAAACATGAAGCAAACACATAAGAGGAAATACTAAAAGTATGATGCAATCATCTAAGAAATTTTATTTTATAACTAACGTGATTTTATCCTTAAAAATTTATCCTTAAACTCAAAATCAACATTTCATATATATATATATGAGAGACCTTCCTGGGGCTAGGAAGGTAGCTCAGTGGTAGAGTGCTTGCCTTGCATGCATGAGGCCCTGGGTTCGATTCCTCAGCACCACATAAGCAGAAAAAGCTGGCAGTAGCACTATAGCTCAAGTGGTAGAGCTCTGTGGTAGAGCTCTGGCCTTGAGCTGAAGAGCTTAGAAAGACAGTGCCCAGGCCCAGAGTCCAAAACAAGAAGGAAAGGAAAGGGAAAGGAAAAGGGATATAGGGATAGGGAGTGGAAGGGGGAAAGGGAAAGGAAGACTTTCTGGCCTGGGCTGGCTTTGAACCATGATCCTCAGATCTCAGCCTCCTGAGTAGCTAGGATTACAGGCGTGAGCCACCACCCTGTACCAGGCTAGTCTATGAGACTCTTATCTCCAATTAACCACCAGAAAGCCAGAAATGTTGCTGTGGCTCAAGTGGTAGAGTGCTTTCCTTGAGCTGAAGAGCACAGGGACAGCACTCAGGCCCAGTGTTCATGCCCTATGACTAATCAAAAAAATCCCAACAATAACAAAGAAACCCTAGGCATTTGTGACTACTGCTGGTGCCAAATATATTGCTAATGGTATTCTCATTTTTAGCTGCTCTCTTAGTAATACCTTCAAGCTTATGTAAAAATAGAATAGCATGAACTGCCATGACCATTATTCAGATTGCCAGGATTTTTCTACCCTTTTTTAATCTATCAACATTTCTTCCTATATGGTTAAATTTTTAAATCCAGTTCTGGGCAGCATGTTTATTTTGTCCCTACCATTTTAGTACATCTTTGAAAATATGTATGTTTTCTTATACCAACAATAATATAATGTTATATGTAAGAAAATTTAAAACCATCATTTTTTTTTGGTATTTTCAAATACGTTTTTGTGTTTTTCTAGCTTGTTGATTCGAATCAGAATCCAGACAAAATCCATATATCATGTTTGGTTATTTGAGTTTTTGTTCTCTCCCTCCCTTCATTTATCTCCTTTTATTTATTTATTTGTCAGTTGTGGGGCTTGAACTCTGGGTTTGGGCACTGTCCCTGCACTCTTCAGCTCAAGGCGAGAGATCTATCGCATGAGCTACAGTGCCACTTCCGCTTTTCTAGTGGTTCATTGGAGATAAGAGTCTCACGGACTTTCCTGCCCGGGCTGGCTTTGAACCACGATCCTCAGATCTCAGCCTCCTGAGTAGGATTACAGTCGTGAGCCACTGGCGCCCGGCTTCTCCTTTTTTTTTTTTTTTTGTGCCAGTCTTGGGGCTAGATTCACGGTCTGGACTCTGTCTCTTAGCTTCTTTTGCTTAAGGATAGCACTCTACTACTTGAGCCACAGTACCACTTCTGGCTTTTTCTGTTTATGTAGTACTGAGGAATCAAGCCAGAGCTTCATGCATGCTAGGCAAGCACTCTACCATTAAGCCACATTCCCAGCCCCTTCATTTCTCTTTTATGACATTGACTTGTTGCAGACCCTTAATCACATGTCCTGTAAAATTTGGAAAAATCCAAGTTTGTCTTTTCAATTTTTTGTGTTCTTACCTTGTTTCTCTATCCTCTGTTTCCTTAAAATGAAAGCTAGTGCTAAAAGTTTGACTTACTTCTTGTTTAAAATACCTTTTAAGTGCTTTTCATTGTGTCATACTTGGAGTCATACAGTACCAGTACCACCAAAATTAATTAGACCAACCAGAGATTAGTTAGTATTTTCAGAGGTCTCTCCCCCCCCCCTCTCTCTCACCAGTCCTGGGGCTTGATTCAGGGCCTGGACACTGTCCTTGAGCTTCTTTGCTACCACTTGAGCCACAGCACCACTTCCAGCTTTTTTGTTTATGTGGTACTGAAAAATCAAACCCAGGGCTTCTTGCATGCTAAGCAAGCACTCTACAACCAAGCCACATTCCCAGCACATAGGTCTCTCTTTTTTTCTTTTTTTTTGTTGATTGTAGGGCTTGAACGCTGTGCCTGGGTGCTGTCCTTCAATTCTTTAGCTCAAGACTAGTTTTCTGCCACTTGAGCCATAGCGCCACTTCCAGTTTTCTGGTGGTTTATTAGAGATAAGAGTCTCACGGACTTTCCTGCCTGGGCTGGCTTTGAATTGCAATCTTCAGATCTTAGCTAGGAGTAGCTAGGATTACAGACATGAGCCACTGGTGCCCAACTTCCTGTTCTGTTTGTTATTCTATCCACATAAGTATTCTGTCTAATTGGCAAAACACAATGTCTTATTGACTATTTATTGATAGCACTCTAGCTACAGGTTATTTCTGCCTTATCCTATATTTCTGCCTAGAATCTAGAATTAGTTATTCCTTCAAGAAGCCTTATATCTTTCCAAATGAGTACAAAATTTCCTCTTTTGTGAAACTGAGAGATGATTTATTTAATAATTTCCTATTTATTTAGATGTATATGCAGGATGAATTCCTGAAAGTGAGATTGATCAGTATTATAATTGTGGTCATTATTGCCAGATTGCCTTCCATAAAAGCTGTACATTTTCTTTTCTTTTTTTTTTTTTGGTCTGGTCATGGGGCTTGAACCCTGGGCCTGGGCACTGTCCCTCAGCTCTTCAGCTCAAGGCT